CACGCCCTACCCTTTTATTTTTTTTTTTGAGACGGAGTCTCGCTCTGTCACCGCTCTGTCGCCCAGGCTGGAGTGCAGTGGCGCAATCTCCACTCACTGCAAGCTCCGCCCCCCGGGTTCACGCCATTCTCCTGCCTCAGCCTCCCATGTAGCTGGGGCTACAGGTGCCTGCCACTGCGCCCGGCTAATTTTTTGTATTTTTTAGTAGAGACAGGGTTTCACAGTGTTAGCCAGGATGGTCTCGATCTCCTGACCTTGTGATCTGCCCGTCTCGGCCTCCCAAAGTGCTAGGATTACAGGCGTGAGCCACCACGCCCGGCCCACTTTATCTTTTTATGAATAAAACAGATATAGCAAACAAATCAAATACGTTGCTTAATGAGTTATTTTAATGTGGATACTACCCATGTCTAGAAATACTTTTCCCTCCTACCATAACCAACCGTTGTTTTGACTTTAATAGTAATCACTTCCTTGGGGTCTTTTCAGAGTTTTGTCACTCAAATGTGCATCCTTGAACAGTTTTTTAGTTTTATCCATTAAAAAAATTGGATATTTCTTGACTGTATTAATCTATTGGTCCTTCCTCCATCCATTTCCTGACAAGTTCTGCTTTAAAGAACCTGGGCCCTTTGATCTGACAAGCTTCCCATAGTCTGGATTTTGCAGATTACATACTCATGCTGCAATCCAACATGTTATTCTGTATTTCCTGTCAATAGGCAGCTAGATCCAGGAAACTGAATCAGATTCAGGACTGATTCTTCTGGGACATCTATAGCTAAAGTTTGACTGACTTTGCAACCTTAGTAGCTACTGATGTTTAATGTTCATCCATTTAATAGGGACTGCAAAATTATTGTCACTTTTTAATTGGTTAGAATACTATTACAAAAAGATACTTACCCTCATCTATTTGTTTATTCAGTGGTATAGTTCATATAAGGAAGGCAGAATAAATGCTTGATTATTTCATGTTCCAGTTTTCAAGAAAATTTATTGATTTCCTATCATCCTCTTAAAGTAAGCAATTTTTAAAATATCACTAAGAACTTTTATATTCAACATACTTGGTATATTCCAATCTATTGCAATGATCATTGAGGCTCAAATTGTTCCATCTTTGGCCAGTGGGAATCTCTCTTTGTGATCGTTTCTGAGTCCTTTTGACATGATGCCTATACTCTGATAATGTTCCTTGCTATCTGGTATGACAGGATGTTCCAGGATCATCTTGAACATTTCCTGCCCAGACCTGGAGTCAGCCATTTCTCCACAGAGCCCAGTTTATTTTAAAAGTAATAAATGTTATTTTAAGACCACAAACTAGGTGCTAGGAATACTTATTGTTTTCAGGCCTTTCAGTGGACAGAGCAAGGAAACATTTACATATATTAAAAGATAAAATATCTCAAGTTCATACTGATACTTCTAATTCAAATTCAAGACTATAAAAGCTTTTAATTAGCCTCTATAACATCTGCATTACCTTTTTTCCCACACTAAGAATCCTGGTTCATTAGGACACAGGGGATAAAATTTGAATATCCCATAATTACTCATTTGCTTTAGCCCACATTACACAGTCTCAGAATAGCTTTCTAAGTATTAAAGAATCTGATGTGACTGACAGCATGAAAAAATGCTTTGCCCATAGTCTCTCAATTCTATCCTTTAAAAAAATAACTACATCTATACCCTCCAAACATAAGGTTATTACATAGTACAGTCTCAACTTCTCAGCCCTCACGTGTCTTACTTCTACGGGTAACTATGTATTTAATACTTATCATCACGTCTTATGTCTCTAATGTCTTTAATTGTTCTGCCTCTAATTGTTCTGCTACAGAATAACAGAACAATGTCTCTAATTGTTCTGGTAGCCTAAAACTCTGGTAACCTAAAACTCAAAGTTCATTCTCTAGTACACTGTTGTCCAATACAACTTTTTGTGATGGTAAAAATATTCTATATCTCTGCTGTCCAATATAGTAGCTACTAGCCACATGTGGCTTTTAGCACTTGGTACGTGGCTGATGCAACTACAGATTTACTTAACTGTAATTAACTTAGTTTCCACACATGGCTAGTGATTACCCTGCTTGACAGCACAGCTCTCACAGATTCATCAGGAAGGGTTCATGGGAATAATATTCTTGGGTTCTCACATGTTGCCCTTTGTGCTTGAAAATCAGTTTGAATGGATACAAAATTGTTGGTTCACATATTCCTTCCTTGGGTATCTTAAATGTTATTCCACTTTCTTCCAGCATACAACAATGCTGTCAAAGTTTGATGATTATCATTGTATTTCTCTTATATGCCATAAACTCTTAGATACTCAGGACTTTTTAAGTCTGACAATTTTATTAGAATATTCTGCTGTCCATCACTCTGGGTCAATATTCGCAGGTATTCAGGGTGCTGTTTCAAGTACGTACTTTTAAAACTTTTTAAACTTATGCTTTGACTCTGTGTCCCCACTCAAATCTCATCTTGAATTGTAAACTGAGCTGTAATCCCCAGGTGTTAAGGGAGAGGCCTGGTGGGAGGTGACTGGATCATGGGAGCGGTTTCCTCTATGCTGTTCTTGTGATAGTGAGTAAATTCTCATGAGATCTGATAGTTTCATAAATGGCAGTTTCTCCTGCTCTCTCTCTCTCTCTCTCCTGGTGCCTTGTGAAGAAGGTGTCTGCTTTCCCTTCGCTTTCCGCCATGATGACAAGTTTCCTGAGGCGGCCTCAGCCATGCAGAACTGTGAATCAATTAAACCTCTTTCCTTTATATGTTACCCAGTCTTAGGCATTTCTTTATAGCAGTGTGAAAACAACCTAATACAAAACTTCAGCAAAGTTTTCTAAATTATAGCTTTTAGTATTATTTTGTTCCTTTACTTTGGTTTTCTTTTTCAGGGACTTCTATCCGTGTTTGATCTTGTTTGCCTAACTTCAAATATGTCGCTTTTAAATCTTTATCTTCATTTTCTTTCAATTTTAGATTTCCCTCTTCTTACAAAAAAAAAAAAGGTTTACGGCCGGGTGTGGTGGCTCATGCCTATAATCCCAGCACTTTGGGAGGTTGAGGTGAGTGGATCACTTAAGCCTAGGAGTTCAAGACCAGCTTGGGCAACATGGCAAGATCCCGTCTCTACAAAAACACAGTAATTAGCCAAGTTTGGTGGAGTGTGCCTATAGTCCTAGGTACTAGGAGGCTGAGGCAGCAGGATTGCTTGAACCCTGAAGATCCAGGCTGCAGTGAGCCATGATCATGCCACTGCACTCTACCCTTGGTGACAGAGCAATACCCCGTCTCGAAAAAAAAAAAATTAAAGCCTACAGCACTCATTTCTCTTAAAGCATTATCTGCTCTACATACAGTGTGGGTATCCCTAATTTGAAAATCTGAAATTCAAACTGCTCCAAATTCCAAAACTTTTTGAGTGCCTACATAGTGCTCAAAGGAAATGCTCATTGGAGAATTTTGGAAATTCAGATTAGGGATGCTCAACAAGTATATTGCAAATATTTCCAAATCTAAAAAAATCCTAAGTCTAAAAAACTTCTAGTCCCAAGAATTTTGAATAAAGAATACTCAACCTGAATTTGCTCAAGCTCATTATAGTTTAGTCTCCATTACTAAAACGATCTTCTCCCATTTATAATTCCTTCCTGAGTTCTATTACCTCGGGTAAGTTTTTCTAATTCTGATTTATGTTATTCCTTAATGTTTTGTATTATTAAAATCTGTAGCTCATTTTGAACTAGTTTGTCACAGTTTTAGTTTGTTTAGTTCTGTTTAGTGTTTCACTTCTAACATGTTTTCATTGTCTGTAGGGACATTCTGCTTTTTATTCCTTAAGATATATTCGTGTAGCATTTGACCTTAATCTTTTTCTTTTGTTCTTTTCCCTGACCTGCTCTTTTCTCTATCCTGATAGACTCAGATTCCATTCTTTAGCAGTTTCTTCCCAGTGAGGAATACTATCCTAAAAGGGAGCTCTGGCAGGTCAATTTTGAAGAGTTAGAGGTTAAATTGTTTTAAGCCCTTTAAGTCCTTCTACTATGTGCCACATGCACTCATCTAGTATTTGAGAAACCAAATCCCTTCCCAGTTTTGGTTGCTGCTTCCAAATTGTCGGCCCCACTTTCCAGTAACTTCTTATTCACTGGAATTCTCAGGTACATAAGACAACATCCTCAATGCTTCTATGTAAGAAGAGGTCTGCTCCCTCACAGACCCTGATAGCACGCAGGTCTTGTGACTGGTGGTTTGTCCCTACCTGCTTAAATCCTGGGGTTCATGGGGATACCTCGTCACCTAGTTTTTTGTAGGTGTCATGGGTTTTGACTTCACTATTTCCATTTTTATTCTGAGACTCAGAAGAGCTAATGCTGTTGTTGCCACCACCTTCCTAAAAGTCTGCTGATAACTTAAAATTTTATTAACTCACTGAAAATCCACAACCACTTCATGAATTGGTACTATCAGTACCCCCAAGTCACAGATAAAAAGCTTCAACAATTTGTACAAAATTATACAATAAGTTGTAAAACCACAATTTTAACCCAGATCTTTTAAATTCCAGAGCCTGTATCTTTTATTATGATATTTACAGGACAATTATTCATTACAAAGGAACGTATTTTATAGAATTCCTGAAAAGTTTGCTATAAGGTGAGAAACATCATTATCTTAACTCTTATACGATAAAACTTAACTCAAGGTTTGAGAAACTAGTACAAGTCCCCTAATTCAGCAGGTAGCAAAATGAAAGGTATAAAATCTTACCTGCACGAAATTTGCAATAAACTTGAATCCCTGACTCTCAAATCTCATGGATTTGAGATTATGTTCAATGGCAGAACATAATTTATTAAGTAGGTTAAATAAATTTAATTCTGGAAATTAAAGTAATGGTATCTGATAACCAGAATAGCTGGATGTGCATGTTCATGAATAGGAAAAGAGGCTTCCAAAGTAAGCATCCGCCAATAACCTACCTGGCCTGCCATGTGTAGGTGGAGATACAAATAGAGGCTGTATAGCATTCTGTGAGGAAACTGAAGTAGTACTAACAGCTTGATTAGCTGCTGCACCATTAGATAAGACTGGAGCTGGAACATTATTGGCACAGGAAGCTGCAACTGCTGCCATATTTCCCATCACCTGTAAGTATGGAAGAAAGTTCAAAACTCTAAGTTTGGTTTCTCAAACAGTAGATTATCTGAACCTAAACTTCAGAAAACAGTAATTAGACAACTAAAACACTGAAAATCAATCTTTATGTAAACCTTATATAGCAAGGTTATTTCTTTCAGAAGATCTTAGGTCACTTGAGAGCTTTGATTTTTTAATTCATTTATTCCTAAAAAGGTAACACACTAATATGATTTGAAAATCAAGTATTAAATCGTATACAACGGAAAGTTTTCCTCCAAGCCCTGTCCTCCGTCTGCCTAGTTGCCTGCTCCCCAGTTAACCTCTGGGCTTCCTGCATATTATTCCAAAGATTTGTAACATATATATATTTTTTGAGACAGTGTCTCACTCCCAACGCCCAGGCTGGAGTGCGGTGGCATGATTTCATTCACTGTAGCCTCAACTTTCCAGGCTCAAGTGATTCTCCCACCTCAGCCTCCCGAGTAGCTTAGGACTACAGTCACGCACCACCACACGCAGCTAATTTTTTATATTTTTAGTAGAGATGGTTTTGTCATGTTGCTAAGGCTGGTATTTAACCCCTGGGCTCCAGCAATCTGCCTGCCTTAGCATCCCAAAGTGCTGGGATTACAGGCATGAGCCACTGCATCTGGCCTACACTTTTTTCTTTTTTAAAGAGAAAAGGTGCCTTGCATTTTTTATAACATTGTAAGACTATTTTTTTTTCTGCTTAGGCCACAGCTCCTTAACAGAATAAACTATTTTTCCACAGCACCCAGTACAGGGCTGTGCACAGAAAGATATTCAATAAATGGTAACAGAAGCTTCTTGAACATACTGTCCTCACTGGGAGTCTCCATTTTCTTACCACCTAACCACAGTGTGGCTGCTACCCACAGTGGTTCTCTGAAACTGTATTCAAAGTCACTAGTGGTCTCTATGGCAACAAATCTTAATAGACTTTTGTTAAGCGTTATGTTGCTTGACCTCTTGGCAGCAACTGACACCTGGCTGCTCCTTGAAACATTCTCTTCCTAGGGCTTCCATAATATTCCTCTCTCATGCTTTTCCTCCCTCCTTGGATGTTCCTTCTCTGCCCATTTTCTAAAATTTGATAATTCATGGGCTCTGTTCCAGATACTCTTCTCAACCTCTTCCTTTGCCCAGGATGATCTTGTTTACTCCTATGGTTTCAGCTACCTTTTTATAATGCTGACTCTCGATTCTACAGGAAAGCTTTAAAATTAAGTTTCAGTTAATGAGACAGAATTGACAGGTAATTTAGATTAACTCACTCTTTATATAAAAGAGGTTCACAGTAAACTATGAGTAATCTAAAGCCAGCACATAGAACAGTGTCTGGAACACAGTAGATGCTCAATAATTTGTTGAATTAATTTACTAATCACTGTGTCAGACACCGGAAGGTACAATAATACCTAAAGGAACGAAAGCAGTTGCTTTGAAGTATGATGAAGGTAAATGAAAAGAGAAAATTCATTTTTCTCTGTCCAGGCCATTGTAACTGCTTAATAACACTATGAAGATTACCTTCTGGGGGTAGTTGTACGAGGTAACTGTGTCCTGAGGAGACATAGAACATGATTTTCTGTCCTGAAGAGACTTTAATGAATACAAAAATATAGTTACATAAAAAAAAAAACCACATCAATAACTTTGTTTCAACTATATGAAAGTGTTCAGTCCTGAAATAATTCAAATTTGGAAGTGACTCCTAAGACAAAGCTCTAAAAGTTGTCACTGTAAAACGTGATGTAGGTGACTGTTTTGTTACGTATCTACAGAAATCCTCAGCACATCTAACTCAAGTCCTGATGTAGATACTAAAATGTAACTGATGATTGAAATCTAAACACCTTTTCAGTGATCTTTGCCTTAAAAGCTTCAAGTACCATAGGACCAACAATAGTTTTGCTTAAAAAAAAAAAAAAAGGCATTCTAGCTGAATATGTAGCTTGGTACAAGGGTAAACTGGTTATTCAGCTGCATTTTATCTAAGTGGGATTTAACAGATACTGTAAGATTCAAATATCATTCTCCTCTGGCTTAAGACCTTGTCTTTCTAAAAGTAAAAATGATTTTGAATGGCTTGGACTCATGAATGATAGACTGTCATGGCAGCAAGAACTCTAGCAGCAGAGATTGGTTACATTAGTAAGAGCACAGACAGAACAGGGAAAGGAAATCACAGGAAACAATGAGAAGTACCTTACTGTGAAAAGGTGAGCCCCACTTAACATGGACAATTCCAAAGTCTGTGTTCAAGTATAGCCAAAGCCCCTGCCAAAAAGCAAACATTTGCCCCAGCTCAGAAGTTCCCAAGTGAATACCAAATGCTTCTACAGAAACATTTATTTGAGTGTTAGACATGGAAATAAGAAGTATAAATAAATGTTCATGGGTTCTTAGAAGGCTGTGCCTGGAAATCTTTATTCAAAGAGCCCTGCGTTGGACAAAAACAAAGATAAATAGATGGGACTTAATTAAGCAAAAAAGCTTCTGCACAGCAAAAAGAAATAACCAGCAGAGTAAACAGACAGACAGCCCACAGAGTGGCAGAAAATCTTCGCAATCTAGCAATCTATACATTCGACAAAGGACTAATATCAAGAATCTACAAGAAACTCAAATCAGCAAGAAAAACACAATCCCATCAAAAAGTGAGCTAAGGACATAAATAGACAATTCTCAAAAGATACACAAATGGTCAACAAACATATGAAAAAGTGTTCAACATCACTAATTATCAGGGAAATGCAAATAAGAACCATTATGTGATACCGCCTCACTCCTGCAAGAATGGCCATAATAAAAAATATCAACAAATAGATGTTGGCATGGATGTGGTGAAAAGGGAACGTTTTTATACTGTTGGTGGGCATGTAAACTAGCACAACCGTGTACACTATTTTCCACTATGGAAAACAGTGTAGAGATTCCTTAAAGAACTAAAAGCAGAACTACCATTTGATCCAGCAATCCCACTCCTGGGTATGTACCCAGAGGAAAATAAGTCATTACACAAAAAAGATACTAGTACATATATGTTTATAGCAGCACAATTTGCAATTGCAAGAATATGGAACCAGCCCAAATGTCCATCAACCAACAAGTGAATAAAGAAAATGTGGTGTATATATACCACGGAATACTACTCAGCCATACAAAGAAACAAAATAATGGCATTTGAACCAACTAAATGGAATTAAAGACCATTATTCTAAGTGAAGTAACTCAGGAATGGAAAACCAAACACTGTATGTTCTCACTCATAAGTAGAAGGTAAGCTATGAGGACACAAAGGCATAAGAATGATACAATGGACTTTGGGGACTTGGGGGAAATGGTGGGAAGTGGGTGAGGGATAAAAGACTATACATTGGGTACAGTGGTACACTGCTCAAGTGATGGTGCGCTGAAATCTCAGAATTCACCACTAAAGAATTTAGTCATTGTAACCAACCACCACCTGTTCTCCAAAAAACCTATTGAAATTAAAAATTAAAAACAAGGTTTTTTTTTAAATGTATGCTGATAATTCTGAAGACATTTATCCTTTATTTTAGCAACAACAGAAATTTGCTATGGATTTGGTGATGGGGGCAGGGGGCTTGGAACATATGAAGAAATTGAAAGCTACTGGAGTAGTTTAAATTCAGAACAAAAAGGAACATGTGACAAGTGAAATTGAAGGAACAGAAAAAAAAGTATTATCATCCCTCATGGTAAGATTCTTACTTGCCTTTTCACTTGGATGGCTACTTCAAAAGGTGATATCAAAAGCACATGATATGAGAATAGTAATGGTGGCAGGAAATGGGGAAAAAAACTTTCTCTGGAAGGAGCAAAGTAAAGGAAGGAGAAAAAACAGAAAGAGAATTACGTATCAGAGTTTTCTTCTCCTTCCTAAGGTATATTGTCTAAACAGTAAAAACAAAAAATTAGTACACGAAGCTGCCACAGTTAAAATTAGTCATAATTAGAGAATTTAAGGTAGTTATTCAAGTTCTTCATAAATATTCCAGTTCTCCTGAATAGACGGTAGGATTGCCCTTCCCAGCTCCATCCAAAGTCAAGAATGACCATGTTACTTGGTCAATAAAATATGAACAGAACCGTTAGGAGTCAGTGTTCAATTTCTGTATCTTTTGCCCTGCTGCGATGATCATGATGGCATGTGCCCATCAGCCTGGGTCCCTGAGTGACTATGAAGAACAGTCACAGTCTGGCAGCCTGCTGCCAACTCGCATTGAACTATATAACATTAGCATGAACAACTTTTCCTGAGTTAAGTCACTGAGACTTTGGGGGTTGTTATTGCAGCATAACCTAGCTTGAGTAAAACAGAAATTGGTAACTAGAAGTAGGGTACAGCTATAACAAAATCCTAATTAAGAAGGAGATTATGAACATGCAGCTCTCAGGGTAAGCAATTTAGAAGACTGGATGTTAGTATTGTGCTTTGATTACTGTTGGCATGGTTTAAAGCAAGTTACTTTAAGACAGGTGTGTGTAGGACAGAATTAGTAGTTTGCAGGCAGGAATGAAAGGGAATAGATTCCTTGAATACAGGGACTCACAGGGTTGAAGGAATAACTGTTTCAACCCTAAACTATAAAATGTAGTATTGACGAATGGTTTCAATGACGACAAACAGTGAAAACTGGACCTCACAGCAAGAATCAACTCTTTGGTTAAAACCCGAGTGCATTAAGATGTCTCAAAGTTGAGTTCAACTAAGGATATAACACCTAGTAAGTCCTTGCACTTCAACAAAATGGCTTGTAGAAAAATGTCCAAAAGGCATGGCTCTTCCATCAGTGCCTGATGAACTCAAGCCACTTGCAATCAAATAGACAGAAATAAGGATAAAACCACAAAGAATTATAGCAAATCTTAGTAGTATATCTATAGAAAAAATAGTATGGCTATTGGTACATGAAACCAAAAGAAATCAAACAGAAGCAGAATAAATTAATCTTACAGTCAAAGAAATCACGAGTCAGAACTAAAACCATTCAACTGAGATAAAAACACCCTTGCGCCTCCAATCTTCTATAAGTAGCAAGCTTAGAAAGCTGCTCTGTTGCCAAGGAAAGATTATTCTCCAATGCCTACTCCAAATATTGCCAGGAAGGATGGGCCTTGGGAGTAACCAAGAGCCCCAGAAAATAAACGAGAGATCCTCCAGGGAAGAGTCCCATGAGTACGTTGGGTGCCCTTACAACGTCTGCCCATGAAGTTCTCAGAATTGCTACAGGCCAGTAACTGTTTTTTTATTCCCCATTTTCTCCCTTTCTGAATAGAAATTTCAGTCCCTGCTTCAGCACTGTAAACTGGGGAGGGAGGGGGGAAAAATAAAAAACCTCCATATTTTTGGTTTTAGGTCTCAAGGTCACAAGAAGCTACATCTGGACCCAATATAACAAGTACTACACATAGCTCAGAAACCCCAGGCTTTGAGTTTGATTACACTGAATGGGACCTTTTAGGATGCCTCCTTTGACGTAGAAACAAGTATTCTGCCTATGAGAGGGAAGGCAAGTTGAATGATACAGTTTTTAGTGCTGCTAAAATGTTTCTTTTTGCCTTCCAGGCACAAAGAAGTTAGACTCTTCAGTGGGACCTGCTCTGGCCAGCGAAATGGAAAAGAAGGTGACATGTATCACCTCTGGTGGAAGTTGTAAGAGCCAGTGCACCAGTTACCAAATTTTATTTCCTGCCTTGGCAATCATGGATGAATTTCCATCAGCCTGAGTACCTGAGCAAGCCCTTCTATAGACCTCTACTAGACATGTAGCATAAAGGAGAAGCAAACTTTTGTTATATTGAGATGTATGATCCATTATAATAAAAAAACATAAAACCTTCTAAAAGATCATTACTGCCTATGTTAGAATATCTCTAGAATATCTCTAAATATATTAGTTCCAGAAAACGAGTTAATTTCTGTCTCAATTTCTTCATCTTCAAAATGAGAATGATACTAAGCCTCACAGGGTTGCTCTGATTTAAATACATTTATATGTATAGCTCTTAACAGTGCCCCAGTACATAGTAGGCGCTATAACTCTTTGCTATTATTAAATACCTACCAAGTTTGCTGTAGATGCAGTTGTGCTATAAACACCTGAAGTTTCATAGTCTGGCTCTAGAGAATATAGCCAAAGTAAAAAATGAGCATTATTTTATAGCTTGAAATTCTATAAACAATGATGAATGCCAGATCACTTCTAGATCTTACTGACCTGCACGATAAAGATATTCTTCATGATATCCCCCTGGGGAAAAAAGACAAGACAGAAGAAATGTGTTTATATAGGCCTTTTTAGCTCAGCAGAGCCAAATGGCCAGCACTTGCTTTTTCCACCAGTTTTATGGTTATATGTTCAAAACTAAAATGCATACATCCTGGAAAGTGATATGAGCTTTCACACTAGTCAACAGATATTGAAACCAGAGATTAGTTGTACACTGTACAAATTTCTCCTCCGAAAATCCACTTAGCTCTTAGAGGTCAGGCAGAGGTGAAAACTCAGTTGTGTCCAATTTTTCCAGGGAGGCTACAGTGTGGTCATTAAGCACATAGGCTCTGAAGTGAGGACTGCCTAGATTTGAATTCTGATTAACTACACTACTTTAGGCAAGTTACTTAATCTCTGTGCCTCAATTCTTCACTGTAAAATGGAGTAACAGTACCTAGCTCATAGGCCTTTTGAGGATGGTTAATGGAAGCAAAAGTAACTTAGCATAGTGCTTTACATATACTAAATACTCAATGGTGACTATAAAGTATGAGTATAATCTACTGTTTCCTTAGGTGGACATTAAGGGAATATGTTATGCCTCATCTGTTTTTCAATCTGTTTCATGTAAGTAATACATGTAAAATCAGTGTGTCCTCAAAGGATCGCTCAGTAGACTGAACTACTTTTAAGATTTCTGTATCATCGAAATGCAGAGAAAGTCAATATTCAATCAGATGGTTTTCCACCAAATATAATCTGGCAGTTCTAAACTAAATTTGATTATTAAACACACCACTTATCAAACACACATGCATGAAACTCCTCCAGATTTAAGGTGGGAGCAAAGATTTGGTTATTTCAAATATGCCACATCACCCATAGAGCTAAAAGACAAAAGGGTCATCTAAATAAGAGGGCAGACAGTAAATGTCCTTAAGCACACGCATGCACACATGTACAAAGTTTTCACAGATCATTCTTGTGCTAGATTTTTTCACTCATTAAATTCCTAAAAATATCTATTTTTTTCTATACTAGCAGAAAAAAAAAGTACCACAAGAAAATAAGAAACTTATTCATAAGTTAAGTCATTGGGAATGCCTGACACCTCCTTAAGCCATTCAATGCTCCACAATTGTTTCAATAGGCATTTACAGTATCTTTTAAAAGGAACAAGGTAAAAATAAACACATTCCATGGTAGGAGTCAATATAAAAACTGTTAAGGGTATGTGTGTGTATATGATTCCAATTATATAAAATGTCCAGCAGAGGCAAATCCATAGAGACAGAAAACAGACTGACGGTTGCCAAGAGCTGGGGGTTGGGGCAAATCGGGAATGGCTCCTAATGGGCACAGGATTTCACTACTGTGGTGATAAAAATGTCCTAATATTAATTGTGCTGATGGTATGCAACTCTAAATAAAAAACCCACTGAATTGTATTCTTTAAATAGCTTAATTGTATGATATGTAAATTATATCTCAATAAAACAGTTATAAAAAATTATATCTCTGCCATTTACCAAGGATATGACTGTGGCCATGTCATTTACCCTCTGAATCTCAATTTCCTCATATGTAAAATAGGGACAGCACATTCCTCAGAAGAACACATGAAGGACTATATTATGAATATAATGACTTAGTAGAGTGGATATCACACAGGGTTCAATAAAGAGTAATGTTTATAGATCAAATAGACTTATTTGGGCAAAGAAGTTACTTCATAGCAGTCTTAAAAAATAACAGCCAGTTACACGAAAAGCCTAACATATACAAATGATGAGGACAACTATATAGTTGTGTATTTGTATAGTTGTATATTGTAGTTGTATAGCTGTATAGTTGTATATTGTATAGTATAGTAATAGTGCCTTACTAATAACGAACAGATGTTTTCCATACTGGTATCTGACACCAAGTCAAAAACTCACTAAAGACCTATGCAGAGAGCTGAAAACAAGTTATAACAATGTAGCAGCCTACTGAAATAGAAATCTATTCTTCTGAGAAATACCAGGACATATTCAAAAACCCAGCAAGCATTAAGAACTTATATAAATCTTTCAAAACTAAGCTAGCGGAACAGAGAGAGACCCCAAAACCAAATTGGTCTACTTCACCGTCCTGATGTGCCAATGCCACAAGAATCTTTTAAAAAATATTTAACTGTAATTGACTCACCATTTTCACTCTGGCCATTGCCCTCCTCTAAATTCAAAGTCTGTTTGCCTGAGCTATGTCCCCGCCTTCCAACACAGTATCCTGAAGTAGCAGGAACCATTGTAGAGGGACCTCCATGATTCTGTATCAAAGAGACACATATACTTCAATTCTCACTATATAGTCAGGAAAAAAAAGCTACAGGGACGTTTTAAAAGGCAGTTTAAAAACTAGCCTAACAATGTGAACTTCTGTTGTAAGAGAATTCTGTAACTGTTTTCCATGCAGTTTAGAATACAAAAAAAATGAAGTCACAATCAAGAAAACAGAAAATATTAACACATACTCTATAGGCAAGATTAACTCTACCTCTATTCCCTTTTCTAGGAACAGCTAGGAGAAAATGTCTCTTTTCTCATTTTCAATTTTCAGAAAAGGCTTTGTTTGGTTATTTGTACAAAATCTAAAATTTATCCACATTGCCTTTACTTCAAAAAAATAAATGAAAAAAGTAAACAGCTTTTTGAGTAAAGCACTGATCCACTCACAGGTAAAGCTGGATAAGCAGTCTCATCCCCTTCTTCAACTTCATAAAAAGTAATAGTTTCTTCTAAGCCCCTGGGCATCTGTCCATTCCCTGGGGCAAATCCATACTGGGACTCCTTGTTCATACAACTCATCTGGCGGTGACTACGTCTAAATGAACTTAAGTGGTTCAAAGAATAAAAAAGTAAAAATGATGAAATATAACTTGTTCCTAACTTCTAAATAATAGTTCAAATATCTCAAAGTTGACACTTTTTAAAACACTAATGTTCAGCAATGAACTCAGACTTACCCATTTTCTCTGACTTTCAACACAATACTCACCGAGATCTATAAGAGAAGTTATCATAGCTCTGGCAGCACCTTTTACCTGGGCCTGGGTAAAAATCAACTTTAGGGCCCGGCATGTTGTGCCTGTTTATAAACCGAGATGAATTCCTAAGAATAAAGAGAAAGAAAAATAAAACTCTCTATTCACCAATATCTAAGTAGTCAGTCTCCGTAGTTAAATAGAACTATCTGTCTTTCTAAAAACATTCAACTAGAAAGAGCTCTGCTCTCTGCAATATTGGCATTAGGCCTATCTATTATTAATGAAATACAGTCTGTATGTCACACAGACCCTCATCTTGATGGCATTCTATCTTCTTGGATCTCTTCAACTGCTTCATATTTCCCTAGACCATGAAAATACAAATCTGTCAATGTCTTACCTGGGCATCCCATATCCCCGACCTTGTCTCGGAGATGGATGTTGAGGATGAAAATGTTCATTAGACATAACATTGCCAGCTGTCTGTGAGTAGTGCATTGGAGGATCATGCCCATAATGCATACTGTGTTGTAGCCTGGGTGGGAGGAGGGGTTCTCCCTTGCCATAAGCCATAGTCATGTAAACTTCTTTTCCTCGAATTTTCTTGAACATCTTCTTCTGTTGCTTTATGTCCATCTCTGATATAACTTTCAGGCAAACAAAGAAGTAGCAAATAAGCTCATAATCAAAGCAAAAGGCCCAGTGTACTGTCACCACCACACTGCCTTAAACTTTCCAATGTTTCCCCTAGGAACAAACCAAATAAACATAGGGAGGGAATTTTTGTGTTTTTGAAGGATATACTAATCTTTTATTTGGAAGGACAAAACCAGCAGGTAATTTCTGTATCAACAGGTATATCTCGGCACTATCCCTAGTATGGGGAGGTTAGTATAGGTCATCAAAACACTGAGTCATCCATGGCCAGGCACGGTGGCTCAGGCCTGTAATCCCAGCACTTTGGAAAGCCGAGGTGGGTGGATCACCTGAGGTCAGGAGTTCAAGGACAGCCTAGTCAACATGGTGAAACCCCGTCTCTACTGAAAATGCAAAAATTAGCCAGGCGTGGTAGTGTGTGCCTGTAATCGCAGCTACCCAGAAGTCTGAGGCAGGAGAATTGCTTGAGCCCGGAAGGTGGAGATTGCAATGAGCCAAGATTGCGCAACTGCACTCCAGTCTGGGCGACAGAGTGAGATTGTCTCAAGAAAAACAAAACAAACAAACAAAAAGCCCCCAAAACACTGAGTCATCCAATCACATACATTACCATTCTCTAATAAATTATGCCTGTTAATATCCCCGGCTGCTTCTATGAGGTGTTTTCCTAGTTCTCTAAGAAATATTTTTCCCCCTCAGGTTAAGATCCATGTCAGCTTAAGTTTTTAAAATTAATTTTTATAGTGTAGAACAGTATGTATTTATGGGGTACATGCAGTATTTTGATACAAGCATACAATGTATAATGATTAAATCAAGGTAACTGGAATATCTATCACCTCAAACATTTACCATTTCTTTATGTTGGGAACATTCCAAATCCAGTCCTCTAGTTGTTTTGAAATATGCAGTTTGTTAACTATAGTCACCCTATAATGCTACCAAATACTACATCTTGATCCTACTACCTAGTTTTGTACCCATTAACTAATTCCTCTTTATCCCCCACCCCCAGTACCCTTCTGAGCCTCTGGTAACCATCATTCTACTCCTCATCTCCACAATATCATTTTTTTCTTTTTAGCCCTCAAATATGAGTGCTCAAGTTTATACAAAGTCCCTTAAGAACCATGGTTCTCAACCAGGGACAATTTTGCCTCTCCCTCCTCTAGGAAATATTTGGCAATGTCTGAAAACATTTTTGTTTCTAGTGGATAGAAGCCAGGGATGCTATGAAGCACCCTACAATGCACAGGACAGCATCCCGACAATGAAGTAGTATCCATTCCATTATCAGTAGTGCTAAAGTTGAGAAACCCTACCCTACAACAAGACATATGACATATCTTTAAAAAATAGTACAATGTAGGTAAGTAAAAGCAGGTACATGAAGGGGAAAATAAAATAACAACCTTTAGCATACAAACCTATTTCTGGGACATATCCCCCAGGCATTTTCTGATAACCTCTTCCTTTCCGACTGGGCATAGCATTCCAGGCAGGAACAGGCATCACTTGGGTAACTGGTTTTAAGTTAGCCAGTGGAACAACATGCCTTAACAGTTAAAGGTATCACCATGAAGATACTGCAACACAGACTTAAGTCTCATTCAATACACGTAGCCCACCCCTTATATTTCAAGTGTATTCTATTAAAACCTGGTTGACACCAGTTTCCTTGTTTGTTATTAATTTAGAAAACCTAAGAGTAGTTTGTGCAATTTCACTGCTGTTTCTAGTACCGATCACATTTCAGAAGAAAGACTGGTAGACCATATTAATTCACAAATATTTGCTGCACCTCCTTGGAGGATTAAATCTCCCCACCCCATTAACATGAGGCTTGGGAATGTAAACCACTCTGCTTAATAAAGTATGAGACATTTTAAGATTCAGACAAGTGGTTTGTTCTCATTTTATTCCCCATAATCATGGATGCACGTGTTAAAACAGGATCTCTGTTGAACCAGATCCCATTTTCTGACCCACTACGGACATGCTAAATGAAGGAGAAAGGACCTTACTGTTTTAAGCTGCTGAAATGTTTTGGTTGTTAGGGCAGCATAACCTCACTTAATGGTTCTCAAAGTGGACCAGCAGCATTACCATCACCTGGAAACTTGTTCAAAATTAAAATTCTTGGGCCCCACCTCAGACTTACTGAATCAGAAACTTTAATGACTGGGCTCACTAATCTTGTGTTTTCACAAGCCCTCCAGGTAATTCTGGTGCATGGTAAAGTTTGAGAAAGACTAGATTAGTTTATCTTCATACTGGCAGAGGCTCAGTAATCCAACTTTGCAATTACTGTGAACAGTTTTGTATCAGAATTCCGTTGTACTTAATATTTCTAATAACTAGGTTAGTGTCTAAGATTTGAAAACTTTTATACATATCTAATACCTATATTGAGATTTCATACTTCAGCACATGCTTTTATAATTCAAGGTAAGTCATCCTAGGCCAACACTAGATACAATTCTGGTTCTCTTACTAGCATCCTGGTAATTCTCAATTTAATATTACAAAATGGAACCAAGAATCAAAGATTTCAGTAATTCAACAAATTATCATATTCCTACTTTTCTGCCAATTCTTCAATGAAGACTGTTACTGAATTGTTCTCATTTCCAACTTCCTGGATATGAGCATTATAATATCTTCCATCTGATTCCAAGCAAACCTGAAAAGAGAATACATCTAGTCTCAAAACTAGTGACAGACACGGCTACCGCCAAACAAAATACCACTTTTCCCCAAATGGAGTTCAGTGTCTACTTTTTAAAGTAATTCACATCAACACTGCCAGTCTGGATCAAAGGAGGCAGCACATGCTGAAAGAACCTTACATCTAATCACTAAATTTGTAATTAAAATTTAACACAGACATTAAATAAACATTTTTTTCTTTTTGGCTGGGTGTGGTGGCTCATGCCTGTAATCCCAACATTGAGAGGCCAAGGTGGGAGGATTGCTTGAGGCCAGGAATGAGACCAGCCTGGGCAACACAGTAAGACCCTCTTTCTATAAAAGAAAATAAAAATAGGCCAGGTACGGTGGCTCATGCCTGTAATCCCAGCCCTTTGGGAGGCCAAGATGGGTGGATCACGAGGTCAGGAGAACAAGACCATCCTGACTAACATGGTGGAACCCCATCTCTACTAAAAATACAAAAAATTTGTCAGGCATGATGGCAGGCGCCTATAGTCCCAGCTACTTGGGAGGCTGAGGCGTGAATCCGGGAGGCGGAGCTTGCAGTGAGCCAAGATCGTGCCACTGCATTCCAGGGCCTGGGAGACAGAGCAAGACTCCGTCTCAAAAAAAAAAAAAAAAAGAAAAGAAAAGAAAAATTAAAAAACTTAGCCAGGCATGGTGGTATGTGCCTGTAGTCCCAGCCACTAGAGAGGCTGAGGAAGGAGGATCACTTGAGCCCAGGAGTTCGAGGCTGCAGTGAGCCATGATCATACCACTACACTCCAGCCTAAGCAACAGAGCTAGACCCGATCTCTTTAAAAATAAAAATAAAAAAAGTTTCTAGTACTTTGTAAATAAGTCTTGCTCAACTCATATTATGACTACAAGCACATTCTTAAACAAACTACTGATTCTTGAAGAAGGAACTAACCTGACACTTGTCTCCCAAATAGTACTGTCTCCCAGCATACTCCATGTAATCAGATTTTTGAAGTTCTATTAAAAGAAAATGAAGATTCAAGCTCAACTAAACTGGTTCCTTTCCTATATCATTTAATTTCCTCATTTACTTTTACCATGTTACCGTAGTGCCGTTGACAATGCTACCACTATAAGTGAAAATAGGGGTAAAGTGCCAAAGGGCCATCCTATCATTCTGGATGAGTTATTTCTGCAGTTAATTTAAAGAGATCTGCCAGAATAATTTTGTGCTTTAAAAAACAAATACGTGGAAATTGGGAGTTTCTAATCAGAGATAGTCAAACACTAATGAGGTACAATTTGAAAGCAACACTATTCAGCTTCTTCAAATCAACCTATATATTTTTTAACAACTTACTGTGTTTCCCAAGGTCTTAACCTCATTCTAGATTGTTAACTACAGCTAAGTTTACCAGGGTTCAAGCAGTTGAATGTGAAATACTAAAGGCTTATCTTGAAGGCAAAACTTTAAGGCCTAGGTTGATCACTTTAGTTATAAGGAGAGAAACAATGACCTGTTTTCAAAGGTTGGTAAACTTTTTCTGTAAAGAGCCAGATAATAAGTATTTTCAGTTTCTTGGGCCATACATTCTGAGAGTCTTGAGTAGACTCAGAACTACTCAAACTCTGCTGTAAAATGTTATGAATGCTGAAATTTGAATTATATAATTTTCATGTGTCACAATATATTATTCTTTTAACTTTTTCTGTCATTTAAGAATTAAAGACCATTCTTAGCTCATAGACCACATAAAAACTGCTGGTGTGTCAGATTTGACCCACAGACCTAACCTACTCATTTATCAAGGAAGGTGGTCTTAACACCTGGAATTTAAGATGAGCTTGTTTTCAGTCACTAAGTTTCTTAAAGCTATCTAAAAATTATCTCCACACAGTCTTTGCAAAGTTGAAGTCCCAGGCAAACATCAGACTCTAAAAAATCCCTCCCACATCTGAAGCTATGTTCCCTCCTGTGGATTTAAATCATATATAAAGATAAAAAGCATCAGGCTGTTTTTTATAACAGTATTTCTTATAAGAGGTGTTCACCATAATTTGCAAAATTATACTCCTGAAGTTGTCAGGATTCAAAAGTATTCTGTTGATATTTCATTACCTTTTCTGCTGTCCAACCAAACATCAAACTCTACATTACGATAGATTTCCGGATCCAGGGCTTTAAGCACCTTATAGGGGAAGGGCATCTTTGATGGATTTTCTGGAGACTAAAACAAAAATAATCATGCTAGAAACTCACAATCCTTAGTCTTCCTTCTATGAAGAAGGAAAAATTAAGTTGCTTCCTTCTTAAAAAAAGTTGTTCTTTATTAAAACAAGAAATAAATCGCACAATAAACTTTGCCATATATTTTAAAAATCAGGAGACTAAAGTAGCAAAATGCAAGTAATCTAAAAGGTTTTAGATGGCAGAAGGGAAATAATGTCTAAATGAGGCAATGACTCAGGACACATCCCATATAAACCAATGCAACACAAACCAGGATTAAAAATTCAGAGCTATTCAGGAAGTGTTATGATATAGACATGGAGGTGCAAGTATTTCTGTACTCTACAATACCTGGAAATATCTGAAGCTTACTTCATTTTGGTCAAATCCTGTTAAAATTTCCAAAGGAACTACCATTTTTCTTCTGCTTTCCTAGAATTTCACTATATTCAATACTATTCCAAAATTACAAGCACCTCAGGTACACACAGAGATTGCTATAATAGTATTTGACTTATTTAGCTAGCCTCAAACTGAAGGCCTATTTGATTTTAGTCCTATATGGATGGTGAAATTTCTCCTGTTTCTCTAACTTTAAACCATGATTATCACCTAGTTTGAAGAAAATAAAGATAGGCATTGTATTCCTTAATGAAAAAAACCTTAGTGTCACAAGACTGATTACAAACTAAATATTGGGTTTGTAATATTTAACTTAAAAGCATATTGCTCCGGGAATTTCTGAAGTGTTCAGTTTGTTCTGAAAAATCTAAAATTCTGTAAAAATAAGAATTCAAAGAACATTAAGCATGCATTTTAAGTTTAAAGATAGGTAAGACTTTCACAAAGGAAAATGACCAACTCCTCCCTCAACCCATATAACTAGAATATACTATCTGACTTTAACTAGTTTGTCATGAGTATGAAAATTCTTTGCCTTAGAAAATATCAAACCTTTGTTTCTTCTGTTCCTTTATTGTAGCTCTCTGGTATATTTTCAGCATTGTAGCCGGCACCCCACTCTTCCATCCTATTTCAAAATATTTAGAGCAAAGAGCTTTTTATAAATGCAGAATTTACTTATCTTAAGCCTAATGACTACACCACCACCTAGTGGTAAATTAGCTCAGTTCTAAAACTAAGGCAAATGCTTTTTCATTCCAACATTTGCATTTACGCTTCCTTTTTATAAGTATGTGCTACAATATACTTAGCAGATTACCTCCTGTATTTTACAACTCCTGTGAGAACACACTCTTAGGGTGATCCCTATGATCCCTGCCTCATTCATTTTACTGGTCTCTCTCTCTCTCTCCTCTGCCGCCTGTAAGGAAGCAAGCAGCCATGTTCACCACCACAATGTAGCAGAGGTGAGGTAATTACTTCCGGCCAACTGACAGCAAAAACTTGAAGCTCTCAGTCCTATAGTTCAAAGGAACTGAATGCTGCCAAGAACCATGAGTGGGGAAGTGGATCTTTCTCCAGTCAAAGCTCCAGCTAAGAACTCAGTCCCGACCAACAACCTCATTATAGTCTTATGAGACACTCAGCAGAAGATCCAGCCAAGCCATGCCCAGATTCCTAATCCACATAAATTGTGAGAAAAGTGTGCTGTTTTAAGCTGCCAACTTTATAGTAACAGTGTTACACAGCAAAACATAACTAATACACCTTGCCTTCCGACTACTGTAGTTTCCGTAAGCCTAAAGTCCTTAAGACAAGTGATCAGTGACGAATGAAGCAACCTTTACCCTAATACATGGTTGCCACTCCTGGCAGTCCCAAATGAGCTTGGTGCTACTTTAGAATCAGTATTTTCTCAAAGTATGATCCACAGCCTACCTACATCAGAATGCTTAGGCACACTTGTTTAAAAAACAGATTCGTGGTCCCATCCTGACCTCAAATTTTGTGACAGTAGGCGTAGGAACCTACCTTTCTAACAAGCACTGTAATTCTTATACAACTAAAGTTTGAGAACCATGTAATTAGTTCTGAACTTTCTTCTAGCAATACAAAACGAACCTGAACAAAACCCCCAAAGTCTGGGCATCTCACAATACATCTCTTTGGTAAAACTCTCCCCCCATTAAAAATATATATCCTAACATATGTGTATGTGTGAATATGTAACCTAACTCATAAGCTTGCCAGGCCCCTTCCACTTTCAAATGACTATGCACATAAGTATGAAACATAATTATTATAATATCCCCTTTCCCTTTATTACCTATTCTGATTTGAACTCTTGTAATCAGTATGGGCATCCTCACTTCCAGTCACAGCATTATTTCTGTTCTTCTTAGAACCACTTCGAAACAATTTAATCGCAGTTTTCAACTCTTCTTCATCCACAACAAACACATCTTTATAGAGAATTTCATACAATACAGCTGAAGAAAAAATGGCCGAAATTCCAATTGTCAAAATAAGATTTATATTAACTACGTGAAAATAGTCATAATCCTGCGTGTAAATAGGTACCAACAAGGTTTTAAAGGCGCTATTCATGGTAGGTCCCTCAGTGAAAACAAGTCATCTGAAATCACACCCAAAATTTATAAAGCCTTCACATACCCTGACAAACAGCTGCACTTGACTGAAATTGTTTTGAGTACACAGAATCGTAGTGACCACTATTTGAATAGCAGAGTAGAATCTAAAGAAAAACACACAGAACAATTAAGTGAATGTTACACATCTTAAAACCATGAAATTAAGATGATAATTAACTTGAAATTGAGTCAGTAGTCAGTAACTGATAACCATTTGAATTTCTTTTTTTAAAAGTGATTTTTAAAATCTAAATATAAGGAAACGCAACCTGTACCTCATAAAGATTTTCTTGGCAGTAACTTTTAAATGCCAAGATTAAAATTACTACTAAGGTTACACTGTGAGCCTTAATCACATTAATATGCCAAACAAGTCCTGATTTACAAATTTGCTAAAAAAAAAAAAAAAAAAAAAGGGACACTTAGAAATTGAGTTATTGAACATAACAGAAAGCCTAACAGATGCCAAAAGACCCAGCTAACTTCTAAGAATGACTGGAAAAATGAGGTCAAATACCCAAACACTCCAAACTCAGACTAAGGGAGGAAAGGGATTTTATTCAATTATTTTAAAAGTTATCAATTTTGAAAATCTTGTTGATTCTGGGGAGCCCAGCGCGTGGCACGAGCGTCACGCCAAACAGCCCGCTCGCCTTCTCTTCGGTGTCGGCCGCCGCCACCTCCCAGAACCTCCTCGTGCCCTCGTGTGCCAGGCCCGCGGTGGCCGAGATCCACGGTTCACAGCATGTCCGCCTTGGCCCCTGCTGCGGAGGGAGAGGGAACCCCCGCCCAGCCCGCATCCGAGAAAGAACCCGAAATGCCCAGTCCCAGAGAGGAGAGCGAGGAGGAAGAGGACGAGGACAACCAGGAGGAGGAGGAAAAAGAAAAGAGTCTCATCGTGGAAGGCAAGAGGGAAAAGAAGAAAGTAGAGAGGTTGACAATGCAAATCTCTTCCTTACAGAGAGAGCCATTTACAATTGCACAAGGAAAGGGGCAGAAACTTTGTGAAATTGAGAGGATACATTTTTTTCTATGTAAGAAGAAAACCGATGAAGTTAGAAATCTACACAAACTGCTTTACAACAGGCCAGGCACTGTGTCCTCATTAAAGAAGAATGTGGGTCAGTTCAGTGGCTTTCCGTTTGAAAAAGGAAGTGTCCAATATAAAACGAAGGAAGAAATGTTGAAAAAATTTAGAAATGCCATGCTAAAGAACATCTGTGAGGTTCTTGATTTAGAGAGATCAGGTGTAAATAGTGAACTAGTGAAGAGGATCTTGAATTTCTTAATACATCCAAAGCCTTCTGGCAAACCATAGCCAAAATCTGAAAAAACTTCTAGCAAAGGCAGTAAAAACGAACGGAACAGTTCTGGAATGGCAAGGAAGGCTAAGCGAACCAAATGTCCTGAAATTCTGTCAGATGAATCTAATACTGATGAAGATGAAAAGAAAAACAAGGAAGAGTCTTCAGATGATGAAGATAAAGAAAGTGAAGAGGAGCCACCAAAAAAGACAGCCAAAAGAGAAAAACCTAAACAGAAAGCTACTTCTAAAAGTAAAAAATCTGTGAAAAGTGCCAATGTTAAGAAAGCAGATAGCAGCACCACCAAGAAGAATCAAAACAGTTCCAAAAAAGAAAGCGAGTCTGAGGATAGTTCAGATGATGAACCTTTAATTAAAAAGTTGAAGAAACCCCCTACAGATGAAGAATTAAAGGAAACAATAAAGAAATTACTGGCCAGTGCTAACTTGGAAGAAGTCACAATGAAACAGATTTGCAAAAAGGTCTATGAAAATTATCCTATTTATGATTTAACTGAAAGAAAATATTTCATAAAAACAACTGTAAAAGAGCTAATTTCTTGAGATAGAGGACAGAGATGACTCGTTCCCACAGATTTGAAGATCTGATTTATACCATTATACCAGCAAAGAGAATGTATTTCCTTTTCTAAATCCTTGTTAAGCAACGTTAGAACTTACTGCTGACCTTTTTATCTTGAGTCTTATGTGAATTTGAGTTTGCTATTTTAAATTGAATTTCTATGCCATTTTTAGTTTAAAATCTTACATGGCATTAACTGTTCCTTGCTTTTATAGTTGTATTTTATACATTTTGGGTTTCTTTATATAAGGTCATAGATTCTTGAACTGTTGTGGTTTTAGTGCACTTAATATTAGCTTGCTTAAGGCACACTTTTAATCAAGTAGAACAAAAACTATTATGACTGGGATTTATACACACAGAGATTGCAGTATTTAGTATATGAAATATTTTGAATACACATCTCTGTCAGTGTGAAAATTCAGTGGCAGTGTGTCCATCATATTAAAAATATACAAGCTACAGTTGTCCAGATGACTGAATTGGAACTTTTCTCCTGCATGTGTATATATGTCAGACTGTCAGCATGACAAAAGTGACAGATGTTATTTTTGTATTTTTAAAAAACAATTTGTTGTATACAAAGTTTTTAAATTTCTTTTGTGCAGACCACTTTTTAAACTCACGTAGATAGGTATCTTTACAGGTGTAGACTATGGAATGTCAGTGTTCAGCCAGACAGTATGATGGAGTAGTGAAAGTCAATTCAGTGATGGAACATGAAGGAACAGACAGTTATCCTGCTTTGTCTCGAAAGTGTCATCAATTTGTAATTTTAGTATTAACTCTGTAAAAGTGTCTGTAAGTACGTTTTATATTAAGGACAGACCAAAAATCAACATATCAAAGCTTCAAAAACTTTGGGAAAGGGTGGGATTAAGTACAAGCACATTTGGCTTATAGTAAATGAACCGATTTTTATTAACTGCTTTTGTCCATATAAAATGCTGATATTTACCGGAAACCTAGACACCTTCATGATTACGATTAAAGTACCAGATTATAATGCCAGAATATAATGTGCAAGCAATCGTGGATATCTCTGACAAAGTGTATCTCAAAAATAATATACTTTTACATTAAAGAAATTTGATGTTTCTCTGCAGTTGGGGCTCTGGCTTTTAAAGTTTGGCTAATCAGTGTTGATTCTAGATGATCAACATAATAGACCACTCCCGAATGAGACCGATTTTGTCTTTCAAATTTACTGTCTTAAATCAGTTTATTAAATCTGAATTTTAAAACATGCTGCTTATGACAGAATGACACATTTGATGTACCAATTAAGGGTTGAAAAATATCTTTGCATCATGGAACAGAAATAAATATGTTGAATGTTAACAGGTATTTTCACAGGTTTGACTTGTTTGATAGTTACTCAGACACTAGGGAAAGGTAAATAGAAGTGAACAAAATAAGCAACTAAATGAGACCTAATAATTCGTCTTCGATTTTAAATATTTAATTCATTCTTATAAACCTTGTCAATAAAATTAATCTAAATTTTAAAAAAAGTTATCCATTTAACTGAATAGCAATATATCAATACACTATATAGCACCAATACTACTAGAGAGACTTCCTCAATGAATTAAGGCACATCTCAGGCTACAAAAATGACAGTTTAACGTCTGAGCTGATTCCTTGAATCCCTAGAGGTTTTTTTTTTTCCAAAACAATTCAAAGGCCATGCTTGTTAAGCAAAATTTTGTCAGTCAAAATGTTGCATGTGATGAAATTTGTTTACATAACTGTTCCAAAACCTTTCTGAATTTTTGTTAAAAAAATCTGGCTTTGCCAGGTGGGGTGGTGTGTGCCTATAGTCTCAGCTACTACGGCAGGAGGGTCACTTGAGCCCAGGGGTTTGAAGCTGTAGCGTGCTATGATCTCACCTGTGAATAGCCACTGCACTCCAGCCTAGGCAACATAGTGAGATCCCCATCTCTTAAAAAAAAATCTGTCTTATATAAGGGATATAATCCCTAGTGATTAAGGTTCTTCCATTTTGAAGGTATCAGCAACCTGAGTTACTCAAAATGATTCTGCAATCTGTGGAAAGATGTTGCCACCAAGCCTCCTTGGCAGAAAAAAAAATTATCCTAAGCATTCTTTTTTTCTATCTTCCTACTCTTCCCTGGGCTAACTTCTCCCAATAATCCAGTTATTTGATCCCAGGTCTATTATTCTTCACTCATCTTTTTGGAAATCACAATTCTATTTCAGTAATAATCCATTTCAAAGTACTGAAGTCAAATGTCAAGCTAAAGTAACTCACAGTAAAGTTTAAGTTATAAGTTTCTCCTACCACAAGGGGTATCTGCATTTAAGAGTTTATTAACCCATAAGAACAGTGAGCAGATTGTGAGCAGAGAAACCCTTTGTACTTTGGGCTACAAGAACTGGGAACTCTAAAAAGTATTAATAACTAGAGGTAGCTGTTAAGGAATAAAGGAATTCAGTTAACCAGACTGATGAACAAGCAGTTCTTATAAAAAGAAGACAGGCAACTATATAATTTCTCTATTAAAGTAGCAAGAATTTCCATTTTGACTGGAAGAGGCAAAACAAGGCATGATGGCTTTTATGTTTCTCATGGTATCCCAACATGAAATAATAATTCATACATACTTGTGGGTGATTTGTTTGGGAGTGGGCAGATGGGATGTAATTAATGGCAGTAAACTAGTGAAAAAATGGGATAGATCTATATTACTAAGAAGGATATTTAAAAAGAACAAGTAACAATGTTAAATATGAGCCCATTTACATTTAAAAGACAAATACAAAGAAAATGATACAGAAAGATACTCACCAATACTTAATAGTTTGTTACTTTGAAGTGCATGAGAACCAATACTTGTTACTTCGAAGTGCATAAGATTGAAGAGGATGAGTGGGGACTTTCTTATTCTACGTTTCCAGACTTAATTTTATTTTGTTTTTAATGTAAGTATGTACTTCTATTTAGATAGAGCAAATGAGCTGAGTGAAGATGGCTCGATTTCAGCTGAATACACTTAAGAAACTGAAGATAACTATGTAGAATGCAGAATTAAGTCAACACAGAAGGTGAAAGATACCGAAGTGAATATTAGACATTTATTTCTATGAAAGTTTGTTCTAAAATATTTTTAGAAGGTTCGTTAATAATGGTCACGCCTATAATAAAGTCATTTTTATTTATTTATTTTTGAGATGGAGTCTTGCTCTGTCGCCCAGGCTGGAGTGCAGTGGTGAAATCTCGGCTCACACAACCTCCGCCTCCTGGGCTCAAGCGATTCTTCTACCTCAGCCTCCCGAGTAGCTGGAATTACAGGCATGCACCACCACACCCAGCTAATTTGGGTATTTTTAGTAGATACGGGGTTTCACCATATTGGCCGGGCTGGTCTCAAACTCCTGACCTCAAGTGATCCACCTGCCTCGACCTCCCAAAGTGCTGGGATTACAGGCATGAGCCACCACACCCGGCCTCATTTTTAAAAACTCGGTCCTGATGCCAATCTTAGGAGGGTGAACTGAGATAAAGCAACAAAGTTTTAGGGAAAGAAAAGCATCACAGAATCAAAGCGCCTGGTTTTTCAATATAAACACACACCCCCACTCTATAAATTCCCAAATCAGACATATATATGTACTATCCTGTACATGCAAATACCCAAGTGCTGGTAAGCATTAGCTCTGTATACATGTATGGATATTTGTAGGTTGTACACACTCAAAAAGTCTGACATTTTTGTATTCTCATGGTTCCCAATGGGTAATGTTCCCCCTAAATTAGCTAAATAATCTCTCTGTAAGATACGCAAGACATTTAAAATGGAACTGTATAACTGCAGGAACTAAGTGGTGGGTACATGAATGTTTACTACATGAGTCTTCAAACTTCTCTCTGTATGAAAAATTTCAGAATACAATGTTGGGGAAAAACTGAACTGGAAGTTTAAAGATCCCTGGTAAAGATCCAAATTTCATCTCAAGCAATGCTATGTACAACTGCTTAGATACAAAAGCTAACACTCCTCTTCCTCAAACAATTCAGATTATGTCACACCTTTGCCTAAAAACTTTCCATTAGTGTTTCGGATCAAGTGTGCTGGTGTCTGAAATTTACTTTAAAATACATCAAAAAAGAAAGATGGACAGATGAATGGATCGAGGAATAGATATGTTATAAGAATACTAAGATGTTAACAGCAGATTCTAGGTGGTGGGTAAGTATATGGATGCTCACCGTAAAATTCTGTTAACTTTTCTGTATGTTTGAACATCATAATAAAATGTTGGGAAAAAGTTTCAAATGACTATTCTGTACAATGAAAAGACAAATTATTTGGCATGGCTTGCTCTACCTCTTACTATGTAACTGTAGCCTATCTTTCCAGCATCACCCTCCTCACATCCAACTACTTAAGTGCCAAAGGGTCTCTTGCTTCTATGCCTCTGTATATAGTGTTTCCTCTGAATACACTGCTCTTCATATTTGACGGACTCTTTTATATTCCACTTAAATGTCACTACCACCATGAAGCTTTCTAAACTCCCTCAAGCAGAAAGAAGGGGTTTTTCCTTTGTGCTTTTAGCACAGTTTTTATTATTATAAAACTTACCACGTTGCTGTAATTAACCCTTTGCAGTTCTGTCTTCATTGCCCCTTAAGCTCTTGGAGGGCAAGGATTTCACTGTATTCATTTTGGTGTCCCCAAAGCTCAGAAAAGAGATAATTAATGTACCTCATTCGTACTTATCTTCTAAGTTATCTCCTACTCAGTCTTCTTTATTCCTAATGCTACTTCTCCTTAGCTCAGATATTCCCCCTCAATTACCATAACAGCATCCTAACAGTTCTCCTGGTCTCTAGTCTTGTCTTGCCATCATTAAAATTTTGTCTAAATTGTGTTCCATGTTGTGAAATAAGACATATAAAACTCAAACACTATGTAGTCTATATTTCACTAATAAAATAATCAGGATAAAGGTTTTTCTTTTATAAACTTTTTGGAGGAGAAACTGTATGCTGAAAAACAATTTATCTGCTGAGTATTCTCAACTAACAATCAAGTACTTTACCAGGCAGTAGTAGACACTGTCACTTCCCTCAAGAAACTTTCAGATAATGAAAGAAATACATATGAAGACAAACACAATATAATAAATACTACAATTACTTGGGAGCTGCTAGGGGAGAACAAAGTGAGAAAATGACTCCAGGGGCATTGGGAAAGTTTCAAACACAAAGACACAAAGTATGAAAGGCAGAATACCTGGAAGCATGGCATAATAAGGATGGAAGAAAATAAAGCTGCTTTGGGACCTTTCAGGATGCTGAATGCCTAGCTTCAAAGTTTGAACCTTATCCTTTTTAGTCACTGAGAAGTCATTTAGGGTTTGGGGTGGGTTTTTTCCTATCACAGAGAAATGACAATCAGATCTGTTTAGAGGGCTAACAACACTGAGATTTACTGACTAGAGAGGAAAATGCTAGTAACAGAGAAACCTGTCATTCAGACTATGCTTTTCATTAATTAGGTTAAAAAAATGATTTAATATCCAGGCAAGCCAGAAGCATCATTCAACTTCTTTTATATAAGTCAACATTCACTCATCTTCTTACCTTGTCTTCATAGCCATTATCTGTGACATAAGTTGGAGGTTTTCCAGGAAAGCGATAAAGAATGAAATCCCGACTACATGGGGAAAACAAAGGTTAAGTGGGAAGACATAATTTGGCATATGTAAAAGATAGTTACAGAAACAACTATTTCTGCTTTTAAATTGCCTATCTTATTCATATAAAGCAATATAAATATCCGGTTTAATGTTTGGCTTTAAAATAATCCAAAAGGGCTAAATGACGTTAATTCAAAGTAGACGGCTAATTGCCCCTAAAGTCCTATGGATTTTTTTTTTAATGTATCTTAATTTGGGAGGAGAAGGGGTAAAGACAATGAATTATTAATTGTATGTATGGCTGTGAGTTGGGGGTTGGTGCTCTCCTTTATTTTTTGGCAAAAGGCTAGAAAATAGGCATTTCAGCTTTTGCAGACTATATGGTTTATTCAACTTTGCTTTGGTAGCATGAAAGCAGCACAGACAATGCATAAGTGAATGAGCATGACTGTGTTCCAACAAAGCTTTATAGACACTGAAATCTGAATTTTATATAATTTTTCCATCCCATGAAACATTCTTCTTTTGACTTTTCAACCATTTAAAATATTTTAACACTCTCTCTTAGCTTTCTTCATTCTAGATATCAACACATCAAATCTCAAATTTCCCCAATCCCGAAGAGACCGTTAATTGAGATCTTATACACACACGCATGCAAACACCCACTCTCAAAGAAAAGAGGATATAACTTACTTATAAATTAGAGAAAGAGCTCTTATTTCCAGCTGGCCAGCACTTTCCTAAACATAAATAGTGTATAGAGTTTTAAAAAAACATTCTGTAGCTAGGAGGTAGTTTTTTCAAGTTCAACAAATTTTTAGCTGCTTAGCACTATTTTAGATGAAGAATTTGTAGAACACACTATAACCTGTTTTAAGGCTTGGAATACTGTGATAGCTACTTATTAACATAAACTTATCCTGAAAAAAGGATCTAAAGCCCTACTTAGCCATTAAGTAACAAGGACAGTTAATAGGAGAGATTTTAAAAACACAATAAAGATGGAACTAGTATAATAAAAAGGCAGTAGGGATTTAGTAAATGTGTTTTTTAAGTTCAGAACCATGGAATTAACTTTATCATATAAAAATTATTTCTAAATAAAGTATGAATTTATGAATTTTACTCCCACATAAAAGGAAGAAAACTACAAATCAGGGGAATTGTTTAATAACAAAATAATGACCTCTTGGTAAAATTCATTACCACCCTCCTCCTCCATTAAAGTGAAAAGGCTTAAGCTTCTCCTGTTTCCAAGTAGTATATACTCTTTTGCTAGTCTATGGTTGATGGGATTCTTAACACACAATTATCAATATTCGACACAAACCAATAGGTCAATTTTCAGCCTCTAAACTTATGCAAGAACTATTGGATTCAACACAGTTGACTACTAATAAAATAGTTGGGGTCTGGCTAAAATAATACAGCTGAATGAATAAATTTACATTACTATTCCAAATAACTCTGAAAAGATTAAACCCCCATATTTGATCTTACCTTGGGATCTCCCAACCGTTCCAGGTATTTCTCAAAAGATCCCTCCACATACTTCAAAAATAAAACAAACTCGACTTAACCAAATACACAGCATTACTGAAATCTGATTATATTCTACAATATTATCCTGCAATGGGTTTTTTGCTCAGCTCAACAATTATGGTAGTAAGTTTCTACTTTGCACAGCACCTCAAGAAGATTTGCACATACACAAAAGTCATGAGTGGAGAAAAACTGGAGTATAAAAGTATCTTAGGAATTGGTCCTGGCATATCCACATACCAGTGCATTTCATCAAATGGTATGCTTTTGAGTTTCATTTGAAACGCCAATTTAAGTAATGACAATTTTCATAAATCAAGCAAGACCAGTATTTCTAAGGATTTCAAATTTCACAAGACATGCATTTACAAAATTAAACTGAGGAACTTTAAAGAGAATTTCATTAGTTTCTAAAAAGACCATGGGACAAGGGAACTTTTTAGGGGTGATGGAAACATTCTATATCTTGACTGTAGTGGCAGTTCCATGATTGCATATTATCGCCAAAACTAAAAATGGTAAACTTAAAATGATGAGTTTTATTGTATGTAAAATATGTCTCACTAAAAATGAAATTAAACTCAGGACTGTAATAGATTTATTTCTAGTTCCATGGATACATATCATTAGACTTTTAAAAAATCATTTAAATTTTCCTTTTAAAAAGTTTTGAGATATAAATGACACACAGGCCGGGTACGGTGGCTCATGCCCGTAATTCCAGCACTTTGGGAGGCCAAAGTGGGCAGATCATGAGGTCAGGAGATCAAGACCATCCTGGCTAATACAGTGAAACCCCATCTCTACTAAAAATACAAAAAAAATTAGCCGGGCATGGTGGCGGGCACCTGTAGTCCCAGCTACTTGGGAGGCTGAGGCAGGAGAATGGCATGAACCCAGGAGGCAGAGCTAACAGTGAGCCAAAATCATGCCACTGCACTCCAGCCTGGGCGACAGAGCAAGACTCCGTCTCAAATAAATAAGTAAATAAATAAATAAATAAATGACATAAAATAAACTGCCCAACTTAAATAGTACAAATTTTGACTTATGTATACACCCATGAAATCATCATCACAATTGAGATAGTGAATATATCACTTCCATAAGTATCCTTGTGCCCCTCTATAACTCACATATAACCACTGATCTGCTTTCTGTCACTATAGATTGGCTTGTATTTCTTCTAAAGTTTTATATAAGGGAAATCAAACAGTATAAACTTTGCAGGGGATTTGGTTTCTATCACTCAGTATTGAATTGAAATTCATTTATGTAGTTTTAAAATTTTACACACATCTTTGTTACTCAAAATGTTGTCCACAAACCAATAGCAAACATTACTTCAGAGTTTGTTAAAAATGCAGAAATCTCCACTGAGCGCAGTGGCTCACACTTGTAGTCTCAGCACTTTGGGAGGCCAAGACGGGCAGATCACTTGAGCCCAGGAGTCTGAGACCAGTCTGGGCAACATGGCAAAAATCCCATTGCTACTAAAAACACAAAAAACTTAGCCCAGTGAGGTGGTGTGTGCCTGTAGTCCCAAGTTACTTTGGAGGCTGAGATGGGAGGATTGCTTCAGCCTGGTAGAGGATGCAGCAAGCCGTGATCCTGCCACTGCACTCCAGCCTGGGCAACAGAGTAAGACCCTGTCTCAAGGTAAGAAAAAAAAGAAATCTCGGGCCACAACTCAGACCTACTGAATCAAAACCTGTATTTTAACAAGATCTCCAGGTGATTTGTATGCACAGAAACACTTGAGATGCACTGCTTTACACTGTGGTCTTGCATTTGAAGTAATGTCACGAATAATCCTTTCTCCAGGTGTAGAGAAGACTACAATCAGCTTCAAGGTAACAAGCTTTTAAGTCAAGAAGTCTTCACATAGTTTTAAAATTCACTGAAACCAGTTGAGAAAATTAAGAGTAAAACTCGAACAGCAGGCAAATACCCACAATAAATAGAAGAAACAAATAGCACTGGAAGGGCCAGAAGTGTTTTAAAACATACACACACACACACACACACACACACACACACACACACAAAAGGAAGCCTCCAATTTCATTAACAAGAATTCAAATACATGAAGGTGTACAAATGTCTTCTGTAAGTTGTTTTACCTAAAGTTAATCATTAGTGGCAGAGCTCTAATTATACAATTTGTCACATGGAAAGACTAGATACTTAGACTCATTTGTTCCCTTACAACTAAGTTTTACAGGATTCCTCAAATTGACTGGCTGAAGATTACTGTCCACAGGATTAAGCAAGAAAATAGAGGGGGTTTCCATTTGTACATATTTTAAAATATGCACTGCAAAACATTAACAGAGCCAAACCTTTCATGAACTATTATTAATTGTTCAATAAAACTGTATGGATAATATAAAACAGCAATCAAAATGTAACTTTTTGAGATCTGGAGTTCTTGGTGTAGGACGAGGTAAGTAGTGGGAAAATGTAGATTATTCTTGATTTTTAATTAACCTTGATTTTTAAACAACCTAATTCTAGCAGAGGGTCCAGAAGCACGTTAGCTACTGGGAAGGGAACCAGTTGGGAATTAAATATTTGCTATTGAGGAGACTGCATGATATAGTTTAATTTTGGTAGGTGCTCACAATTACTTTCCCACCTGCTACATAGTCTACCAGCACTCCCCTGGGTATGTATTCTACTTACAGACTCAAAAGTTTGTTGATTTTCCCTCATATATGAGACACAAGCCTTCCTGATTTCCAAATGATGGACCTGGCTGCAAAACAACTAAAAAGAAGAGAAAGACCAGCCCACTGTCAGTACTCATTTAAAATAGGCACTTCTAAATCAAGACTATGAACTGGACACTTAAGCCTTCCTTATTCAGAACATATGTAGAAAACTGGGAAATTAAATCATCTAAGTTTTTCTTAATATCATCTTCAACGAAATTGGGGAAGGATGACTGTCATGCCCCATCCCCTTTTCTACTCCTTATGTGCACAGCCTATAATTTTTTTCTTAGGTATTAGAGGAAGCAGGGGATGCTTACAAAGGATCAAGATATATTTCAAAGTTGTCTTTAGCCTCATCTTACCCCTCCTACATTAAAAACTAGCATTTAAAAAACAGAAAAGATAGCAAAGGTACAGCAATATAGACTATTCAGCAAAGGCATGCGCCAAGCTAATAAGAGCAAGCAGCTTCTCTCTAGGACCTGATAGGCCTGATGTTTTCACTAGAAAGCAGGGGAATTTTTTTGTTTCTTTTGGCAAACTACAGGACCATCCCATGTCTCAAACTCTGAAAACTCAGTACAGGGAAGATATGTTTTCCTTTTACCTGCTCCGAAATAGCCCGAAAGAGGCAAGAGGCATCCTTGGCAGTCAGCTTTCGAAACAGCCCTAAGCTGCCTAAATATTCATCCATTGATGCCTCATTCAAAGACTTCTGGCTGCAGTAGTTTTTCCATCCTTTATGCATTTTGTACAGGGTGGGGGTGAGAGGGAGAGGAAAAAAAGTGTGGCAAGAGGGAAAAAGCAGGGTGCAGGTAGGATGGGTAGCAGTAACAAGGGCTTGCTTATGCAGGTATCCGAAAAGCAGCCCAAAGTCTAGGCCTGAGAAGGCAGTTGAAGTCAGCGCTGCAGAATCTTGGCACTTTCCAGGAGCAGAAGCAATGGACTTGGCTTGCCCAGGACAAGTCAGGACCCTGTGAAAAGAAGAGGAAGAGCCAATCCTCCTAGGAATAGGGAACTCAGACTGAGGAGGAGACGTGGGAGGGAGGGAGAAAGTGCTTAGAGTTACCTCCTTGGGAAAGAGTGGGATTAACCCAATCAGACCAAGGTTGAGAAAAGTATGCATAAGCAGCTGAGCTTTGGGACTAGAAGGAAACTGACTTTGCAGCTTAACTCAGGGCAACTGCTGCACGAGGCTGAAAAGGGACTACAATAAGGCTCAGGTGTGTAGGTTGCAGCCTGGTCAACATTACATTGCTTTAAGATCTCTAGCTGAATATTCAACTAGTCTCTCCCCCAAATTCCCTGCTCCTTTCATAGTTTCAGGGAAACATGCAGGGAGGGAATTTTGATGAACCTAGTTAACCTGTGAGTATTTGCATTAATATCTTTTTAATACACACAAAAAAGGAGAAGGAACTTCCCTTAATCTATAGTGGCAGAGGGCACAGTTCAAGCTAAGTACCAAAGCTATTACCTGGATATTCCAGATATAGGGTTGAAGTAATCTTCTAATTCTAGATAATAATCTCTGCCAGGATCACAGAAACTAAATCTTATTGGCCATGCTAGGGAAACCTTATACAATTCTTGACTAAGGCCTGCAAAGTATTATATGGCACCAATAAAAAAGAAAAATGCAAAAACAAAAGTGTGTTTCTTTAAAAATGGAAATAAAAATTTAAATGGAAGCAGCATGAAAATATCCATAAACTTTCTAATAGACTACATTTGAAATGGTATGGTACAGTATGAGATGAGGTAGACAATGAGAGATGTGTTTCAATGTTTTACTAGCATACTTTTCCAGAAACATAACTCTGGATTCTGAGAAAAACCACAGAAAATAGTAAGTGCCAAAGGCAGGCCCAATTGCTTGTATTATTTCTTCCTATTATCTATGCTATCTAGCGTCTTTTATTTTTATTTAAACGCAAAAATCCAATTCCTTTCTTACATTTTTTAAGTATTAAAAAAATAAATAGGTCAAAAGTTGGCTTTAGAGAAGGCACAACATTAGGCTGCTTTCAAAATTGTTTTTTCTTTTTTTTCTTTTTCTTCTTCTTCTTTTTTTTTTTTTTTTTTTTTGTATCTGTGGATCCAGCAGTAATCATGACTGCTCCCTCTAGGAAAAGGAGCAATATTTTATAATTTAGGAATGAAATAATATTTGACATGGTAAAAAAGTATAAATCTTGACTTCCTTAGCATGCCACTTTGAAATTACCTTAATTTCTTTTTTTTTTTTTTTTTTTTAATGGTCTCACTCTGTCACTCAGGCTGAAGTGCAAATGCAGTGGTGTGAATACAGCTGACTGCAGCCTCAACCTTCTGGGCTCAAATAATCCTCCTACCTCAGCCTCCCAAGTAGCTAAGACCACAGGTGCATACCACCACACCCAGCTAATTTTTGTATTTTCTGTAGAGTTGGGGTCTTGCCACATTGCCCAGCTGGTCTCAAACTCCTGGGTTAAAGCTATCCTCCCACCTCAGCTTCACAATGTGCTGGAATTACAGCCATGAGCCACCATGTCCAGCCACTAATTTCTTTTGTAAAGAAACTGTCACACTGGAGAAGTGATGCCTTTTGCAAAAGTTCTGAAACACAGTTTGGGAAGAGAGATTGCCATCTTTCGACAAGGTCACTAATTCACTGAGAAAAATTAATTAAGGGTTATAATTTGGCCAGGTGTGATGGCTCACACCTGTGATCCCAGCCCTTTGGGAGGGTGAGGAGGGCAGATCATGAGGTCAGGAGATCGAGACTATCCTGGCTAACATGGTGAAACCCCATCTCTACTAAAAATACAAAAAATTAGTTGGGTGTGGTGGGCACCTATAGTCCCAGCTACTCTGGAGGCTGAGGCAGGAGAATGGCGTGAGCTGAGATCACACCACTGCACTCCAGCCTGGGCAACAGAGCGAGACTCCATCTCAAAAAAAAGGATAATTTAAAAGTTAATTTGTTTCCAGCATATTGTACTTGTAGAGAAAAACACAAATGCTTCACACATCTGCTTTTTAAACTAAAAATAAGTATGATATATAAAACAATGCAATCTAAATGCTTCATTTTGAGGAAGGGAATGGGAGAAGGGAAAATGGGAGAGGGAGGGAGAGAATCAGAAAAGTAATAGAAAACTGAAAAAAAGAAAAACATAAGTAGGGACAGGAAGACAAAAGGAGACAGAGCAAAAGAAAAAACACACAGAGCAGCACACAGAAGTAGATCCACACAAATATGGTCCATCGATTTTTGATAAAGGTGCAAAATCAGTTCAATAGCAAAAAGATAGCATTTTCATCAAGTGGTGCCAGAACAATTGACCATCCACATGCAAAAAAAGATCCTCAACCTATATCTCACATCTTGTACTATAATTAACTCAAAGTGGCATAAATGTAAAATAAAACTTCAAAATTTTTAAAATAAAATATAGGAGAAAATCTTTAAGATCCTGAATTAGGTAGTGAGTTCTCAGATACATAACAGGGAAAAAAAAATTAACTCGATTTTATCAAAATTTAAAACTTTTGCTCTGCAAATGACATTGTTAGAATTGAAAACACAAGCCAAAACGGGGAGAAAATATTTTTACATCACATATCTAACCAGAAAAACTTTGTACTAAAATATGTAAAGAACTCTGAAAAGTCAACAATAAAAAAAATCCAATTTCTTAAATAGACAAAAGATTTGAATACACATTTCACCAAAGATACAAGAATGGCTAATGAGCACATAAAAAGATATTTGAAATCATCGATCGTTAGGAAAATGGAAATTAGAATCACAGTAAGACATCATTACATACCCACCAGGATAGCTATAATAAATAATACAAACAATAGCATTAACAAGGATTGGAGAAACTGGTCCTAAGAAGATGGAAGCAAAAACTGTATGATTCCAAAAGGAATATGATTCCATTTATAAGAAATATGCCAAAAGGGTAAATCTAGAGACAGAAAGCAGATGAAGTAGTTGCCCGGGGATGGAGTGAAAATAGGCACTGACTACAAATAAGCACAAATAATCTTTCTGGAATAACAAAAATCTACTAAAACTATTTTGTGGTGATATGTGTACAATTCTGTATATTCACTAAAAATTAAATTGTACTCTTAAAACTGGTAAATTTAACGGCTTTCAGGTATGTCACATACCATATAAGTCACTCACCTAAAGCATACAATTCGATGGTTTGTTGTATAGAGTTGTGCATCCATCACCATAATCAACTTTAGAGCACTGTCTTTATCCCAAAATGAAACTCTGCATCCTGTAGCTGTCAACCTCTAATCCCTCTATCCCCACCAACCCCAGACAACCACTAATCTACTTCCTGAATCTATAGATTTCCCTATTCTGAACATTTCAAATAAATGGGATCATAAAATATGTGGTCTTATGTGACTCGCTTCTTTTACTTAGCATAAGGTTTTCAAAGTCCACCCATGTTGTAGCATGGTGCATCACTACATAGTTCAATCCACTGTATAAAACAAAATTTGTTCATCCATTCATTAGTTGATAGAAATTTGGGTTGTTTCCACTTTTGGGCTATTATGAATAGTATTTCCATAAATATTCACATGCAAGTTTTTGTTTTGACTTATGTTTTCAATTATTTTAGGCATAATACCTATGAGTGGAGTTACTGGATCATATGGTAACTCTATTTAACCTAATGTTAGGAACTGTCAAACTTTTTCAGAGCAACTGCACCATTTTACATTCTTACCAATAGTGTATGAGGGTTCAATTTTTCTCTAGATCCTTATCAACACTTGTTATTTTCCATCTTTTGATTATAGTCAACCTGGTGGGTATGAAGTAGTATCTCACTGTGGTTTTGATTTGCATTTCCCCAGTGGCTAATGATATTGAGCATCTTTTCATCTGCTTATTGACCATTTGTATATCTTTAATGAGATACCACTACATACATCTTAGAATAACTAAAATAATTTTTTTAACTGACAATACCAAGTGTTGAAAAGGATATAGAACAACTGGAACTCTCTCATATGTTGCTAGTGGGAATGTAAAATAGTACAACCACTGTGGAAAACAGTTTAGCAGTTTCTTATAAAATTGAACAGAGTTACCATATGATCAAGCAATCCCACTTCTAGGTATCTACATAAGAGAAATGGTAACACAAAAACCTCTATGTGAATGTTCATAGTAGCTTTATCCATAATCATGAACTCTCAAAACTGGAAACAATCTAAACATTTCTCAGGTGGTGAATGGACAAAAACTGTGGTACATTCAAACAAAAGAATACTTCCTAGGAATAGGAAATAATGAAATAATGATACATAAAAGAACATGTATCTCAAATGTAACATGTGAACCGAAAAAAGACAAGATTCAAAAGGTTACACACTGTATGCCTGCATTTACATGACATATTGAAAAAGGCCAAAGGATAGGAAGGGAAAACAGATTAGTTTTTGTCAGTAGTTGGGGTTGAAGAGCTGATTACAAAGAGAAAGGATAAATGGGGGCACTGGAATTGTTCTGCATCTCGACTGTCGCAGTGGTTACATGATTATGCCTTTGTCAAAATTATAGAACTATATAACAGGCTAATTTTACTGCATTTAAATTTAACAGTTAAGTAAAACAAAAAAGCAGAAGAAATAGAGTTGAGGAGCTCACAGAATAGTCAACGATATTGGAAAGAAAAAATAAGAAAATTAGATTATCAATCTAGGAAAGCCAACCTCTAACCAACAGGAAGCCCAAAATGAGATGAAGCAGAGGGAAAGAAATGATAATGATGATGATGATAATATAAAAAAATTCTAGCACTGTAGAACATGAGTATCCATATTGAAATTGAAAGGGCTCATGAAGTAGTCACAACAATGAAAGCAAAAAAGATCATCATCCCTGGACATAATAATAAAGTTTCTGAAGTCAGGGGAAAAAGAGAAGATCCTAAAGCTTTCAGAGAAGAAA